AATAATCCAATAAGCTACTAGCTCTGATGGTGTATTGCCTAAGGCATTTGACTGCTAACCAGAAGGCTGGCAGTTCAAACCCACCAGCCACTCCTCGGAAGGAAGACTGGGCAATCTACTTCTGTAGAGATACCACCTCAGAAACCCAAGGAGGGGTTGCTATGAGTCCAGTGAACTCCATGGCAGTGAGGTGTTTTGGTTTTTTTTAACTCAACTATTAACAAAATGGATATATTGTATTCAAAATAGCACTTACCTTCACTGACAGCATGGGGCTTAATAATGCAACAGGTGCAATTAGTAAATTTAGCAGTGTTTGCTGGGCCGCAACCTCCACTTGAAGGAAAGAACAACTCCATTTCCTAAAGACAGAGAGAAATAACTTTGGCATGTGCGATCTCTTATCTCGAAGTTCCAGAATACTTTTGTGAGGGGAGAAAAAACTCTGCAACTATTATTAAATATAAGCATATAAGTTATATGTTTAAAATTTGAAAAAAAATTATTTTTATAAATTATTTTAATCCTGTTTCAAGATGTATAATCAAAAGAACATACAAATAAGTACTACATGAAAACTGTGAGAGCAAGAACTGGACAGGACAGCCTTTTCCAGGTGTCACAAGTTTTCCACCTTTGACAGGGTGCAGTCTTACCACTTTTCTAATGATTTCTATTAGTGGAAGATAGTTGAGTTTTCCTTCTCTGACAGGTTTCTGCCTTACACAGGTCCTGGCTTTGTCAAGTTTTAATGAAATTAGAAAAATGAAAATATGCACTATTCTCAGGATTAAACTGATAATGTCTTAACATATTTTGATTATTAGAAGTAGCCAACAAAGTCTTCATTCTCCCCAAAGTATTAGTTGGTACAGATACAGATCCATTTATTAAATATTCATTAAAATATGTAAAATAAAATTTAAAACTAGGAAATTTTTATAGAAACAGATATAAGTGTTCAAGAATATGAGAACTAGTTAGTTAAAGCTAACTAATTTACTTTATCAGTTGTTGTCAATTCTGACTCATGGTGACTCCTGTGTTTCACAGTAGAACTATGCTCCATAGGGTCATCAGCAACAAAGCTTTAGTAAACAGATTGTTGTTGTTGTTATGTGCCATCAAACCCGACTCATAGTGACCCCTCCTTGGGTTTCCAAGGCAGTTATCACTACGGAAGTAGGATTGCCCAACCTTCCTTGCAAGGAGTGGCTGGTGGGTTTGAACCGCCAGCCGTCTGGTTAGCAG